CTTAACTCGCTTTCCGTTGGCAGAGCATTTTCACGTAACTTGTTGAGATATAGCCCAATTGCTTCATCTGACGTATGCGAATCAATCATCGATACCTGGAGCAGCTCACGGATCGTCTCCAAATGAGGATTTCCGGGGCGTAATATGTACGATTTTGCCGCATTAAGTAGAGTCCTGCGTATGTTCCATGCCGAAGACAAGGTGTATAGTTCATTGATTACCGCGAATATGAGCTCCACTGCTATGCGCGTCTCTTCATGCGTGATAGGATTGCCTTGACTTCTGTACTCGCTTGATTCAGCGTCTGGTGCTTGCCCTTCGCTGTTGGCGTGAGAATTATCTTGCGTCCCGCCAGGAGACCGGGGTAGGTCAGCCGAAGTATTGCGCCCGGTTGAAGGAGACAGTTGTGTAGAAGCCACAGTGCTTCCTACATCCGTCGTCTGAGCTGAGCTGTCGGGAAATCCTGCATAGTCCGTGGCCGTTTCGAATTTATTCGAAAAAGCCTCTTCAGGAGGGGGAGCTGGCCTCCCAAATGCCTTGTCTGTGTGAAATCCGTCCGGTGGGGAAGCCGAGCCAATCCTCGTAGAATTCCGAGGTCTCCCCTCTGACACCTGATCGATTGACCCATTATGGTTGACAGGATTTAGTGGCCTGGCTTTATCGCCTACCACTGAATCCGGTGATTGCTTTTTACTGCTGCCTCCACCAAACACCCCTGTCATGCCATCCAACATGGCTTTGCCACTTCCCGAGACGCCTCTGGGTGCATTGGATAATACTCCCAACACTCCCTTTCCTACATTCTCGAGTGCAGATTGGCTTGGAAAGGGGAACCCAGTCCTGCCGTAAGGATTACTGAAGTCCGATCCAAGATGTTCATCCTTGCCAAGAAATCGTTTCATCTTTTCACTCTCTGCCAGAGACTCGTGGTTAAGAGCATCTTGAAGATAACATTCCAAGTTCTTAGCCAATTCCAATGTTGTCTGGCCTTTCCACGAGGGTACAACTGGGTGATCGTCTGCGAACTTCCGTAGTTTGTGCAGTCTCGAGATAGCCTCCAAAGTTTGGTGAAGCGATTCAAAATCGGTATATTTTCGGAAAACCATCCACCCAGTAGACCGTGTCGATACAGGTTCAACTTGCAGTAAATAGTCCGACGTTGGCTTTGAGCGGAGTGGGCCTTTCGATGTGACCTTTGAAGCTTCGGTTTCTACCGTTATGGATGCACGATGAAGGATGGCTGGTTCCGGTAGCGAAGTCGGTGCGGTTGGACTCTTGAATTGCATGAGTGAAGGAGACGAGCTGTTATTTTCTTCCACGTTGGAATCGATATTATTTTCAATATGCTTTGCTTGATCACAACCTGAGACTTTGCGTTGCAAAGCTCCGTCTCCGATCTCGTCTGCAGGCAAGACTTCTCTATGATCAATCCTGTCATCCGATGCCACCTCCTGCACATCGTTTCCCAGTGCTCTCTCTGGGCTTTGCTTCTGCTGATCATGCGCCGTGATCATGTCACTGAGTCGCTTCGCCTCTATTTTGGCTTCCACTGTTGCCCTGTCAACATTTGCCATTTCATGTTGTATTATATCCCTAGTGATATCGAAGTCTGGGCTCGTGTTGCGCGTTGTATCGGATGGAAGTTCATTTACGCTGTTGAGTTCTCTAGTTGCTGTCACAACTTGTTCTTGGGCCCCTTCCACACCGGCATCTATTGCAGTCATTATGTCTGACTTGCCTTCACTAAAAAGATATATAATCCAGCCATTGATGATTTCTGGCCTCGAAAGACTCGAAACGGTTGACTCGAATAGAACGCTCACGAACATTTCGCGCATGAAATTTCTGAGCAGCAGACATCCATAGACATCTGGGTCAAGAAATCTGGCCAAAATATCGTCCGCTATAATGTCGAGCTTCTTCTTCTGTTGGTCGTTGGCTAAGATATTCGCCAGGCCACTTTCAGGGGAGGTCTCTATGTAGCGCAAGACTGCCTCTTCCGGCGGTTTAGTGGAGCCAACGGACTCGAATGCTGCAGAAAGCTCATTCAAAAACACAATGATCAGTGAGGATGAGTTAGTGAGGAGTTCCAAAAAGGTGTCAGCAGAGCGTTTACGAGAGAGGTGCAATGACAAGGACGAGATAAACTCGGCCAACAACTTCCTGCATGCCAGATGAAATGTTGTCTCAGGCGGTAATATTGGACTAGACCAGGAGCTTTTCGAGGTCTGGTAAGCTCACGAAGTAGCATTATAGGCGAGAGCTTACATCACATAGTCCTTCATAACTGCATCGGTGATTGATCTCAGGGCATCCGCTGTCTTGGGGCCAAGAGCAGAATAATCAAGATCAGCAGAGGAAGAGTCCCCGAAGAGGAATACTTGCCCAGTGTCATCTTGTTCAGCATCGGCAGCCAAGGTCGTACTTTTCGGCCAATCGAGTAGTCTTCTGGCTATGTCCAGGGCGAGCTCCTTTCTCCTTCGCTGTCGGGGATTGGATAATGGATGGATAGGGTCTTCATAAACTGCCTCCCATTGTGCGTGCAAGACGATACCACTAGCAATTCCGATCAAGAGCAAACCTAGTCTTCCAAAAAGTACGAGCGTCGCGCCTACCAAGCATGCGAAGACACCCAGAAGAGTCTCACTATTAGCCGTTGAGAGAAATTGAAGTGTCGATTCAATGACTCCTTTTGATCGCACAGGGTTTAAACTCTCCGTCGCAGCCTGCTCGCTGTAGCTCGTCGGCAAACCAACGTTAGAAGTCTCAGCTAATTCGGGTTTCTTGGGCTGTGACTGTTCCGCCCAGTTGGAAGTCTCATCCATGGCGATTGGCTCTGTTAGATGATCGCATTGACCGTAACGCAGGCTTGCAGATTTATTGAGGAGAAGGAAAACCAAGATTTCGCGAATGATCAAGGCTGCGCGTCGTCAGGAAGCTCGGTTGTCCTTTAACATCTGGTTATCTGATCGGCATGTCCGCTTTGGTTACCTAATACAACCGGCCGGGGAATCACGAGCTTGTATAGCTATGGAGTGCTACTACATACTTAGCACTTTTGTCTACCAAGTAGTAAAAAAAAACCACGAGTAATGTATATTCAGGATGTGCAAATCAGCTCAAATCTATCTGTACCAGTAGCATTAAATGGGATAATCATATTTTCCAAATAGGTTTGTGATCGTCGATTAAGTCCGCCATATATAGTAGCTAAAATAGGTAATGCGACCTGCGTATATCGGTCTAACATAGGAGCAGGATTAGTGGTACCAGTACTCCGTACGATGGACACAGTACGCGAATTCCCTGGCCCGTACTTGATAAGAACTTGCCATCAGAAACTTAACCAGCCGATGTCAACGCTGCGTATGGGATACTAGGATGTGGTGAGGCTTGAGTGTTTGCTCCTTGTTGGAGACGGCGTTAAGATACGTTTTGCGCACGGAAACCAAAACACAACATCTGGAGAGGCGACATTCTGGTGGTGCCGTGCTCCTGTCAACCATTGGGGCCCAGAATCCAAGAGAAGTTCAGGGCTTGGAATAAGTGATAAGCCTAATCATGCGTAGCAGTACTAAATCCTGTTTCGGTAATAAAACTGAAGGAAACTCTACTTGTAGTTGAACCGTGAGAATTATATTCATTTATATAGTGCTGTGTACCCATCCAAAATTACCTTGCATTACCAGTAAAAGACAAGGTATCTAAAGCAAATAAGGATGGACATTGCTATGCGCAATCCGAGTGAATCCAGCATTCAAAGTATATGCGTTTCATGCCAGATGCAAAGAAGACTGCGGTTTATATGGAAGTATGCAGAAACCACCGTGTTTTTCTCCCTGCTAGCCCGATCACAACTCATTCACAAGCCTGTCTGAAGCCGTCATTGTGTCTTGATATATTTGGTATGAGATCCTTGTGCAACAACTGTACTCCCATTAGAGTCAGTCTGCTTTGAAATTGTCACAGTTGTAAAAGCAAGGTTTCGCCCGACTTTGTCGGCGCGACCTTCAATCACTAGCCAGTCTCCAGTTTTCGCTGTTGAGAGATAGTTGACATGAATATTCGTGCTGACACCTGTTGAATCGAGACCGGCCGATGCAATCGCTAACCCACCCGCCCAGTCAGTGACACAGGCTGAAAATACGCCATGTAAGGTACCCTTTGAATTCAAATGTTGAGGGCCGACTTGGAGTCTCGCATTGAATACACCTTTCCCAGCATCATAGATGTCAATGTCCTGAAGTAGAAAAGCATAAATTGGGCTGTTAGTGCGGATACGCTCCCACACTTTCTGAACTTGTTGTAGTTCAGCATTCATGTTGGAAGAGGCTGTCGCGTTTTGAAGTAAATCAAAGAATGTGTGTGCAGTCAAGATAAAATTTCCGAAAGAAGAAAAATTTTGCTTCTTTGCAAGGGCGGCATGCTAGCTTGATATAGCTGTTGACTAACTAGACACTAGTAACATTGAGTACGTAATAACCCAGTCCCAAGCTAACTACGAATCAAAAGTGATGAGAAGCATATTGTATTATTAATACAATACAGACGTGCTGCAGTAAATGATGATTAATATCCCGGCAACTATCAGCGTCCTAGCCTCAGGTGTTAGACTGACTATTTAGTTGATGTGAAGCTTCAGTCATTCAGGTAAGAAACGAGGCAACATCCTGCATATACTCAACCTAAAGGGCTCTCTCTATTTATCTGCAGCGTGGATATATCAAGAGACATGTCATGTTACTCATGTAATTTATCGCAAGTAACATATCAATTGTATCCGTTTCTGAGTTAAATTACTGACTCAGACATTATGTAATAGGCAACTAGAGCATCCCTGGATACTTCGCTTGTGGCATACAAACTTAGCTGTAGTTCCTGAATTGTCTCTGACTTCCTTACATCCTGCCCATTCTTGCCTCACTCGCATCCACACCACCATTGTTGATTTGCCTACCCAGTTCAGCATACAACCACACAACCTCACTGGCTGACACACAATGTCTCGACCTGGTACTACACTCTATGTCACCGGCTTCGGGCACGGGACCCGAGCTCGCGACCTTGCCTACGAATTCGAACGGTACGTGCCGCTCATCGATTGCTACGCGCTACCATGACTATACGACCCGTGTCCATTCTCGCAATTCACCTCGGCTGAGTCCCGCAAACCGACGTCGGTGCCGCTCTCTATATCATACTATGATAGAGATTTGCTTGTTTATCCGATTTCCTTGGAGAGGGGACTCCTTGAAGGGGGACCCTCCGAAAGAGTTTTCCTCTCACAGTTGCCTTGCACCATATATTTAATGATTGATATCTATGTGGAAATTCTTCTAACAATGACTTAGATATGGACGTCTTGTCCGCTGTGACATCCCAGCGCCGCGTACCCCTTCCAGCAGACTGTATGTTTAATCGAGGCTTCGAACCCTGAATGATACTTGCTCACGACATAAGGTTTGCCTTTGTGGAGTACGAGAGCCGCCGCGACGCAGATGATGCATACCATGAAATGCATAATAAGCGGATTGGCCGCGATGATCTGTTGAAAATTGAGGTGAGTAGAAGACTATGGATTCCATAACCTGGCTGACATGGTTAAAGTGGGCGCGTACTCCTCCATCTGCTTCTTGGCGTTTTGACTCTGGCCGGGACCGGCGACGTGACCGTACTCCGCCACGACGTGGCCGCTCTCCTTCTCCTAGACGTGGTCGTGGCGACTATTCTCCCCGAAGGGATGACAGGTACGAACGGGATTATGACCGACATGACCGCGATTATGACCGCCGCGATCGCGACTATGATCGCCGTGACCGGGATTATGATCGCCGCGACCGGGACCGTGAACGTTCCCGTGACCGCTCTCGAAGCCCTGATGAGAGGGACCGCGATATCAAGGATGAAAGGGAGCGCCGTGATGACGATCGTGAACGACGCGAGGACGAGCGGGAGAATATCCCCAATGGTGAAGACAGGAAAGGTATGCTCATTGATGCATGCACCCACTTCTAGTCGTGGCTGATCATTTGCCGCAGTCCCCTTAGAACCCTTGACCTCCGCTCATGATGAGCTTGATACAGCCGAGTAGGTTATTTTGGCTTCATGAACTATCAGATCTCGTACCATACACCTGGCCAAAGACCTCAATCTGTGCTGGATTGTTTTCAAGGCCCGAGGGGTATAACGTGAAGCTTAAGATGTCATCAGTGCACGTTGGTGATCGACCTGGATGTTTAATTCGCTCTATCGCTGTTCAATACTGGCGCTATTTTCCTGACCCCTCCCCCAAGCTGCCGTTCCCCTCTTCCACCCCCCATGCTCGTGCGCTCTTCTCTTCATTCCATTGCTCTCTTGTCTTGCTTTCCACATTTTTCCTTGCATTAATTCTTCCTATGTGCTTTCCTTTGCCATTTAATCCTTCTAAATTGCAGTGTTCATTAGCAGAGAGAGAACGCGAAGGGGCCAACTCCTGGAAGTGCTGGCGCAAAGATACGAGGCATTGGGGCTTTGGTACTATTGCTTAACATTGGTATTTATCATGGTCAGCAGCTCGAATCATGACCGAACGAACGTCGAGCGGGCCTTTTTCTTGTTTATCGTATCGCCAGACTGTTTCGTCCTTTCGTCACGATCAACAGCGATCCGTTATCCGTCTTGAGCTCGCATTCTAATATAGTCGATGATCATTGACCTTTACCGTCTCGGAAGACCGGTCGACTTCGTGCATATCCTGCAACACCGCTTCGAAAACGATTGTAACTCTGTAGTCTGTAGAATTGGTCATGTTTGTGGGGAGAATACAAGGTAAGAGAAATCCGGAAGATATTCATGAAGTATTGACCTGCCGTATCACGAGTCTGGACTGAAGGCTACACTCTAGTCTATGTTTTCCTTGCACTTGGTGGAATGACTAGGACGACTTTGCAGTTGTAGAGTCAGAATTATCGGCTATCAAGGCAATAGGAAGTATGGCATGTGGGAATGCCCACATTCGTACACATTTCTGTCTTACATACAGCCATTCCAAGACGAAAGTTGGTGGGGATTGAAGCATCTTGTTATTGTCTGCATCATGACTAGTACGTACATATACTTTGAAGACAGTAAGAATTCACAAAGGAGTAGATAGGAAAAAGCGCGGTGCACCGCTGGTGTACATCTTCACCGAGCCATCACTGCATCTTTTCGTATGTGGCCATCAGAGAGCCTAGTCATATGGTGTTAGTAGGATAGATGCTGCTCGCCACAGGCCAAAGTTTTTGGAACTTACCGATAAAAGTAGTCACCAGGCGAGAGCGCACTTGGCAAATATCTTCAGGTACCAACCAAATTGTGGCACCTAGCTTTCGCGCTATGCTGATGCTCAGCTTAGCGTTTGCGTATGCCTCCTCGTCGTTCCGACCAGGCGTTACGAGATCGTAGTCGACATAGCTACTCTTCATGCCATTGAGCACGTCAAGGAGGAAAAGGCCTGAAGCGATCGACTGGTCCTTAAAGTTGCGTATCGATGAGGATCTGCCACCGCGGTGCGACATTTCGTTTGCCCATTTGATCATCTCCGAATCTGTTATCTCGCGCTTGCCCATACGTTTGGCTAGGCCCGAGAGTGTATTTGTGATATCCCGGCGCATTAGTTGCCAAACCAAACCAAGCGTGAGAGTTCGTTGACCATCAGTAATATCCGCTCCTTGTACACCTACCAAGGAAAATCCCACGTGTTTCCCAAGCTCAGTGGCGTAGTTAGTATTCTCAACTGCCTTGAAACGCATCATTTCTCCCCCGGAAGCCGGAGGCTTATTGACGTGTCTCCAGTTGACACTGCCAGGCATCACTTTGTCGTATGCTTGCAGCAATACAGTTCCATCCCTAAGATCATCGAATAGAGAATTGACAGCGGGCTGTACGTCAAGAGAATTGAGCCACAGGGTGAAAACTCTGGCTTCCCGCTCACCCTCAGCATCAAAATCTTCAACTTCAAGCTTCTCTTCTTCGGTGATTGGGTCGAGGCCTGGAATAGTGTTGAACAAATTCGCCACAAAAGCAAGGTTCAGTTTAGGGTTCCCTGCGACGAGCGAGGAGGGTGTCAGGAACTTCCGACAGCCCAGTTTGTCCGCATTCGTCAAGACTTGTTCTGCCCTCTGAAGAACATCCTGGGTCTGAAGAGGACTCCGCGAGCAGGTCTCCGGGGCCAATTGATTCAGAAGCACGGTGTAATTTTCACCATCCTTAACATCAGATGAGAAATTTGTCACCCTATAACAGAGTTAGTCGGTTGCATCTCTAGGATTGCAGGTTTGGTCGTAGTTTCACAGCTGGAAACCTCCTGCTAGGATAGTGCAAGGTACCTTCTGTTCCATTTTGCGTTCTTCAGATGATAATTGAACCAACGGAGAAGAATCTGCTCCGGTGGAAGGCGTAGGAACTGCTCCAATGTTTCATCTTCCTCCAGGAGCCTGTACAGTTCAGGGTGCAATTTGATATCAATCTTGCCCAAAAGACCGCGGCGGATAATCTGCCAGATCAATCCCAGAATAAGGTGCTCACGCACTTCTATGATGTCGCCGCTTCCTATGTTCACAACAGAACAGCCAATACCCTTGGCTGAATTGATCACGATGTTGTTGTTTTCCGTCATATGGAATGCATTCAGTTCTTTGATCTTCTTCCCAGCTTTGTTCAGAACGCGCTCATCAATAGTGTCCGGGACACTATCATTGATCAACTTCGCCAAGACCAAGCCGTCCTTACATTTATCGAACATTTCGAACGTGTCGGTGGGAAAGGGTAGGGAGTGACCAATGTCTGGATCACCAGCAAGAACAGCATTTATGTGCCTAGTAAATTCTGTTCTCTCATCCTCGTTGATCGTATGTGTCACATTCGCCGAGGAACCTTGGACATGAATCCTGCCTCCTATACTGCCTTTGGAGACATGTCGAGACGGGCCGGCTCCATTACCCGGAAGGACTGGTGCAGGAGCCGAAGCCGCCTGGTTTTGCGTCGAGGCAAAGCGAAGTTTAGAAATAAGCTGTTGAGATTTGTCTTAGCGACCACTGTACAGAGGGACGACAAAAAGAGCACAGCAATAGTGGCATACTGACGTCCACATAATCTTCGAGCTCGACTCGGCGAGAGCTGTCGAGTTCAACTTCTTTCAAGGCCTGACGCACAACATCATAGGGCTTTCGTTCTGATTGTTGGGTGGCTTTAATAACGGTTGCCTCGTCTAAGGAGCCTTTATCATCAACATCCAGCTTTCGAAAAGCATCTTGGAGAGAGAAGATCTCCGACTGCTCAAACTGCGGATATTTTCTGCGCTGCAGAGTCAGTCGGCGCCGGGCAATATCTCGAATGGTGGGGTTTTCTATCGGAGCCATTGACTTGCCTTTGGAGTTTGATCACGTTCATCCTCAGGGGGTTTGCTCAGGTGCTTTCCAATACAGACTGGCAAGTTAAGAGCTTGGTGAGGAGACGTCAATGGTATTACAATAGGGTTTGTGAGCGTATGAATATAGCAGTATAGAAGGGGTCACCGATCTGATGATGTAATTCGAATCAAGGATGGGTACAAGAAGAAGTTGGCAGTCTTCACTCGGCACTATTATAATGGAGTAAGCACGGCGGGCGTACTTAGGCACCTAGGTACGTAGTTGCGCTATTTTCCTCTACCTACTAGGAAAGTGGGGAAATAAAGGTGGGGGTTGCGAATACGGAGTAGTACTGCTACGTACTGCTTTTGTAGTACAGTACTTTGTAGTTATTAGCCGACAGGTAAGGGTCGATCACCTTGTATGTTCAAATCTCTTCGTTAGTTAGCAATATGAATACCTACAAAATTATTCCATGACGTGGATGGATCTGAAGGTTGTAGTCCTGGTCATTCTACGGCTTATTTGCACCATCATGGTCATGGATGGATGAAAAATAAATCGCGTGGCACCCGATGATCAGCACGGCCATACTTTCTTCTGTATTATATGGTAATTACGGTCTTTGCAGTGGTCAGTACTAGTAAGTAGTAAGTAGTTACCAGTCCGTACGCAGTTTTATTCCTGCTAAGTCTATTGAGGTGATCCTAGGTCGAACATGGGGTAGCCTATCTTGTAGATATACAGTAGCGTAGCCCCTGACAGGATCTAAATGCAGTCCAGTCGGTCGATGGCTGCTTCATGGGTTTCCTCATTGCCACGCCGGCGACTTACTGTAAATGTGTCCCCGATTAAATGGTCGTTTCTTGCAACCCTGGAGCTCGGCTTTGCCAAGAATTCGGTGCAGCTTCACGTTGTCTAGGCTCTGAGATGCTTATTTGACCACGCACTAAAGACAGTATAAGCACGAGGAGAACAACGGTGAATAGATCTATATCTGGTCAGCTTACACCAACCTCGCGCTTTGATCCTCTGGAGTATCTTTGGTCTACCTTAACTATTGGCTATATCACCATCGCGCTGTCTAACTACGTGGCCTTCTTCTATGCTAACCGCCTTGTCACCATATTAAATAGCCATCGCATTTGCTCGCTACCAAACGCATTGGCTCGTGCTCCGTCATACCGGGCTCTTAAGAGCTTGATGTCAAAAGACAGTCAGAAGGGGACTTTCTTTGGGGCCTTTACTCCGGGTAAACCCCCTAGAAGTACGACCCCGCAGCCCGACAACGGTACGAAAGACCTCCTACAACGTTCTCGAGGAGAGGACCATACAGTGTCACATAGACATGGGTTGAGTCCGCGTCGCTACCCCAAAGACTGTCCTCCGTTGAAGGTTAGGTGGTTCTATGCTGTGGATTCGCCCAAATGGAAGCCCGGGCCCCGCGATCAAAAGGGTGACTCGAAACCTTTAGCGCCCCCGAAGAAGTTTGTCCCGTTCATTTCCAGAGACTCTGAAGCCGTCGAAGATGCATTTCAAGCACTTTTACAGTGTGATGTCGAGAACGAGCATGACTCATACAGCAGGTCGGTAGGAGGTGCGTCGTCCGAGCCGACCAAGGTTCCTGTGAATGAAGACTCGCTTTTTGATGTTATTATTGAACAAAGGGAGCTTCGGCCGGCCTACTGGATAGGCCCCGTATACGAAGTTCGTCGCGGAACTTGGTTTTTTCAAGACGGGTCGACAACAAAACCATGTGAAGAAAACTTGGCTACCCAGCTTGAAGAGGGTTATCTCAAGTCAAAGCCATGGCGGTATACAAGCCCTACCTATTCTGCTAAGTTTCCTGTGAGAACAAATGACAATGAAAAAGGTGATATTGAAATTATGTCTTCGCGAAGTTGGAGGCTTACTTTGCCTACAGTACCCGGGTCTTCCAATGAGTCCGAGAATTCGGGGCATACAACTCCTGTGGCTAGGAATGAACCTGAAACGTACCGTCTGTTTGGTGCTTATATGAATAGTATAGTGACTTATCAGGATTCTAAGACAGCGTTACTGGTGAACGACGATTTCATGTCCAGGGTGAGCACAACGGTCTATCAAAAGCTTGGTGGCATTCCAGGAACGAAGCTCGTACGTGGTTATAACGAAACGAACAAACAGAAAGAGGCGGAGGATAAGAGTTGCGTCGAAATGAAATCATCTGGGGAAGAATTACAAGAGGTCTTGCCTGGGGATACTCAAGAAAGGACAGTTTCACAGATGGGTGGACCATTTACGTCTCGTTACCAAACATCGGACGATGAAGGTATCTCGGTCGAGGAAAAACCGACTGTTGAGCAGCGCGTTTCAACGGATATGGCTGAGCTCGAAGAGCGAGCACGCAAGCAAGCACAAAGGGAAATGGAGGATTCCAGAAAGGTTGAGGATAAAGATCGGGAAATCGATCACCTAGTCTTGGTCACTCATGGAATCGGTCAGCGACTTGGCATGCGTCTAGAGAGTGTTAACTTCATACACGACATCAACGTTTTGCGCAAAACTCTAAAGAGTGTGTACAGAGCCTCTCCTGATCTTCAGGCTCTTAACTCTGATTTTCCGGACAAGCACGAAAACTGCCGCATCCAGGTTCTCCCGGTGTAAGTAGCACCCTGCCTTGTGTCTCAAAGTTGATTATGTGCTTTGACCTTTGCCCCACCACCATTAGACATTTTCTCCATCTTCACAATTAAATTTCCGGGAAGACTATTAGCGTGCCAGGGCTAATAGGTTCCAGGTGCTGGAGACATCTTCTGGACTTCCCATATCATAAGGAGCACCAATCCCGTACAGAATTCGATCTGGGTGATGCGAAAGGCTCCGAGAGTACCCCATATCCGAGCTTGTCCGATATAACACTTGACAATATTCCTGCAGTTCGAGGCCTCATCTCAGATTTGGCGATGGATGTGCTTCTCTACCAAAGTGATTACTGTGAGCATATCTCTCGGATAGTCAAGCAGGAGTGCAACCGGATTTTGGACCTTTTCAAAAAGCGAAACCCTTCTTTCCGTGGCTCTGTAAGCCTTTGTGGGCATTCACTTGGAAGCGCCATCCTTTTTGATATACTCTGTCATGAACAGCAAAATTCACGGCCTACTGAAGCCTCGCATTGTGGCTATGACGAGAATTGTGACAAAGTAATCCAGGGCGATCATTTGGACTTTAATTGTGATGATTTATTCTGTTTGGGGTCTCCAATAGCACTGTTCCAGATGCTCAAGGGAAAAACCATTGCTGGGCGACCACAGAGGCAACATGCATCATCAACCCGTCCCGAAGGTGAAATTGGGACAGTCAAGTCGCAATCTAGCTCTTCTGTGCTTCATGATTATGGAAATGACAAGCTTCAGCATCACACTCTGACTTCAATATCCTCTCCAAAATGCCGACAATTGTTCAATATTTTCCATCCTTCTGACCCGGTTAGTTACCGTCTAGAGCCTCTCATTTCGCCAGCAATGTCATCACTCAAACCTCAGCCATTGCCGTCAGTCAAGAGAGGAATTTGGACGACATCGGGTCAGAGTCTATCATTGATTAGCAGTCGTGTCGGACAAAGTGTGGGGTCATTGTGGACGAACTTCACATCCGGTGTCGCAAGCAGTTTGCTTAACCGAAGCCTTGGTCTTACTTCGGAAGATACTGCATCCTCCGAAGTAGGCCTTAATACAACTCTGCATGCCCATAAATCACAATCATCAGCTTCTGACCCCGGCTCTTCTCATCAAACAGAAGATATCAGAAATCCTACTCTCATTGACTCAAATTTAGAAACACTCTATGAGGGTTATCGTAAGGCCGGGGAGGGCGGCAAGCCGAGGGATTCTCAGAGCAACGTAGGGGACTCTTTTGAATCACTTGGGACCGATCATCATGGGAGGAGACTTATGATTGAAGATGCGAAAGTGAGGACTTTGAACTCCAATGGAAGGGTTGACTATAGTATACAAGAGTAAGGCACCTGCTTATCACTTTGGATGCTTTACAATATCTCAAATCTAATTACAGAACGCTGATCTGTCACAGGGGGGCCTTCGATATATCAATGATTGCTAGTATTGCTAGCCATCTCAGCTATTGGTCTGATGAAGACGTGTGCCATTTCATGATGTCGCAAATGCTTTGTAGGAGGCCCGGGGGGGCTGCATAGCAAATTTGGACATAGTGTTGCATGCTGATCATAGTTCGACCTACCTACATGTAATGAACGGTAGTTCTATGTCCTTCGCACTTAACCAGGACATGTAAGAGAAGGGTTAAATGCCAGCGCGTGATGTCCAACTTATGTAACCTGAGACATAAGCGTCGAACGCATGAGCTACGGGCGTAGATCATTCACTGTTCACGCGGATTCCTCGAAATTTCTTGAGCTAGGGCCTTTGATGCGTGCCCCGTACTATGACCATTTTTATATCTAATTAGTATATTCTGCGGTAAAAGAGCTATATGGTAGACATCGCAGCTTATATGTTAGCTGTTGATGATAATGCCGGCATATTCCTTAGGAGGCAGTGATTTGAACAAGAAGGGAAATCATCAATTGATGTATCGAACGCGCCATGATAGGCGGGCCTTACAAATGCAGGACTGTTGGGAAAAGTCGGCTTGGGGTACTTATTACCTTAGCCCTGTTCCTAGATCCGCTATTGGACATGGGTAAGTTGGGCATGACGTTCACCGATGTTTCCTCATACTTCAGGTACCATCTCCCATGATGTCTTCATCAATTTCCAGACCACCATTTAGTTCTCCAACAGCATCGCCACTGACCCTTGAAGCATCAGGCCACCTCTGATTTCTAGATAAGACTTGAAGACTTTCATTTCCCAGCTGCAACTCACTGCTACATTGGTTAGCATCTTTCGTTATTAGTCCTAGTACCCGAGCCTCTTCGACCAATCGTGTTCGCATCAGTATTTCACTATTGAGGTACGATTCACGGCGCGCAAAAAACCGAAGCATTGTTGCATCTGCTTGACCATGCAGATGCACTAGCGTAGCGCTGAGGGTGCCAGACATTACGAGCAACGCCACGAAGTCTTCGATATTTGCAGAAAATGCCAATGGTGCAAGCGTGCGTTGTGCCACATCCGCTGCAGTGAGAGCCGAGAAAGTCCTGCCTAGCTTGATAACAAGAAACGAATTGTAAGCGTAGAACAGCTGAGAGACTAGGCCCTCATTATTGTCCTAGAAGAATGTCAGTCTAACCGATACGTGACAATTGTACTCCCATCTGCTAACGTACAGTACGCCAAACTGACCGACCAATGTCGATCTCAGCTCTCAACCTTGGATAGTCGCCCCTCTCAAAAGCGTCGACCAAGGATGCGTAGGGTTTTGTTAACGTTTGATATACTTTCGAAACGTGTGCAGAGATCACTCTAGGCGATGAGATCAACTATAACAGTAGCGTATGTCAGTCAAAAGCATAATTCGGGTGCTTCGTTGCAAGTTGACTACCTTTCCGTGCGCCAGCAAGCTAGCTAATATCCACTTCTTATAGCCTTCGATCATTATTTTGCTGACAGAGTCATTGACAGGAGACGATATGACAATGCTTAACCAATGTAACGCCTTATCCCATTCCTTTAATGCCAGGTAAATCATTGCGCCATACAGGAAAAATCTCATATGATCTCTGTATGTCAGCTTTGCAGAGAAGCCAGATGCATCGGAGATGAACGTATCGCCGAAAGTGTCTTCGGAACACAACGGACGACTGATATGCTTGCGGTAGGCTTGGACTGAACTGGTAGGAAACTGGAAAACCCATCTTTCCATAACCGGTAAAGCATGATGATAAGACTTGGAAAGGAGAGTAAGTCTGAGGAACGTAACATGCAATGATGTAAGGACACCAGGTGAGTTTAGTCGAAGCAATGCCTCCTTTATCACTTGGACCGCTAGGAACGGCTATTGGAGGTCAACTATAAAGCAATTAAACAATTCATGTTGGCTTGGAGGGCACTTACCTTCGCAGTAACTTCAGCAGCATGTGCCAGGAGTTCAACAAGTCGGCGCCACTCATAGCCAGCATACCTGACCTGGATTGGATCAAAATGTTGAAGAAAATAGGCCACTCTAGCCCATAAATCATTCCCTGGCTTGATTTCGTCTGGCACACTTTCTTTTGTCCGCTTTTGTAGACTGTCGACTTGAATATTGAGAATCAAAAGGTAGCATAACGTGTGCTGTGACGGATCGAGGTTCTGCGAGGTAAATGGTCATATTCGTAAGCATGCCTTATATACCATCTTGCATAAGATTCCACTAGCCATGCTCTTCCACCCTCACCCGCGAAGATTCTGGCCGTGCTTACATCTAGGAGATATTGAGTGTCAAGATCCTTATCGCAATTCTTAATGTATGCAACCAGGTCACGGATTTGTGTGTCATATCTTTCATCGCGCGTATTATTTATTGCACGAAGTTCAGATGACGCCGAAGTGAGATGTGCGAGAATCTCTGCCATCTTCTGTGGGTTGTACGACCTGTAGCTGAGTAGTGGCCAGTTGAGTGCAGATGAAGGATGAAAGATGAGAGCGGCGGGTTGTTGAAGGGGGAAGTAGTAGTAGTAGCACTTGACAGTACCACCCACTTATTACCTCATACACGGTGCATGCCCCTTAGCTACAACAGCTAACTAGAGCAGACTAGCTTACTCGCAACCACCTTGCCTCAGTACAAATCAAGGGTAAGATACAGAACTAGTAGTACATACGTAGAATACTCACTACTGCATCACTTCACTTACCGATATGACCGATCACTTTAACACCAAAAGCCACACTCATGGTTCGTGAGGCACTGAGTATGTCATATCCCCAGCCAGATTCAAATATAAAGAGACTAGCAATACTACTAGTACTCAAGGAGCAAGGGAAAGAGTTTGATATCAGTGTAACATTCAACCATGATATGCTGTAGTTTAATATTGGTTGTTACAGCAGCACAACAGAACAGTTGTTGTAGGCATCGGGTCGACATTATACTGACAGTAGAAAGCTACTGATCGTGATGTCAAACAATAACCTGTTGAAAGGGGCATTCACCGAGGTCATCAGGCCTAATTTGTAAAACACATGTGCTGGACAATTTCTGATGAATTGCGGAATGCCGAGTATGGGCAAAACATTAACTAGTCAAAAGAGACCGAAACGGATACTTTCTCGGTGCACGGGGTACATACTAGTACTGAAAGTCTACTTGTTGCTTAGGTAATATTACCGACTTCAATCCGTGACCCCTCACTTCCTGTGTTCTTACCCAATACTTACATTCTCCTTAGTGAAATCTAGCAAATGTCGCTTACACAGTCTTCTGCCGGCAGTATCGCAAGCACTGCATCCGTAGCTGCTAGACGGCTAGCGGTCCTATCAAACGCTGAGCGCAATGAAGCATTAACGGCGCTGTATGAAGGTCTTTTGGCTAATAAGGATGCCATCCTAGCCGCCAACGCAAAGGATGTCGCATTGGCAAGCCGTGCCGCGGAGGATGGGGATTTGAATTCTAGCGTCTTGAAGAGGCTTGACTTATCAAGGCCGGGGAAATATGATGATATGTTGCAAGGAATCCTCAGTGTGCGGGATTTGACCGATCCAAGTAAGAATACTCGATTGTTTTAGTGTGCGCGTTCTGACCTGTCAAAGTTGGAAACGTGACTCTGAGGACACTGCTCGATGATGGACTTACTTTGGAGAGGGTGAGCTGTCCTATTGGGGTGTTGTTGATAATTTTCGAAGCTCGCCCTGAGGTGATCGCAAATATTGCTGCCTTGTCTATCAAGTCTGGCAATGCAGCTATCCTAAAAGGTTTCAGTCACATACCCGCTCTAGGTTTTCATGCATTGCTGACCATAATAACAGGCGGGAAAGAATCAACTGAATCTTTCGTCGCAATATCGACGGTGATCTCTCAAGCCATATCGAGCACCCGCGTTCCCAAGTCCTCTATCCAGCTCGTACAGACCAGAGACGTGGTTTCTTCCTTGCTGGCCCAAGATACTTTGATTGATTTAGTCATCCCTCGCGGGTCGAATGACCTTGTTCGCTTCGTCAAAGACAACACCAAAATTCCAGTATTAGGCCACGCAGATGGCCTTTGCTCCGCTTACGTACATCATGACGCGGACCTGGACGTTTCCGTTAAAGTGCTCGTCGATTCCAAGACGGATTATCCGGCCGCTTGCAACTCTCTGGAGACCCTGCTGGTGAATGAAGCTGTTTTGAGGACCATACTACCTACTGTTGCCAAGGCCCTCGTGGCGAAGGGTGTTACTTTGAAGTGTGACGAACCCTCGAAAGGTGCGCTGGCGGATACTTTAGACTCTGCGGAAATGAGTTCTATCGTGGATGCCGTCGAGTCCGACTATAATACAGAGTTTCTGGATCTGATCCTTGCTATCAAAACGATACCTGCATCTGCTCCCGGTTCAGGTGTTGATGCAGCGATCGACCACATCAATACGCATTCCTCAAAGCATACCGACATAATCTTGACCAAGTCAAAGGCCACTGCGGATTACTTCATGAGCAGCATCGACAGTGCCGGTGTTTTCTGGAATGCTTCAACAAGATTTGCAGACGGTATGAGGTATGGCTTTGGCACAGAGGTCGGGATCAGCACCAACAAGATCCATTCCAGAGGTCCCGTGGGACTAGATGGTCTCACGATTTACAAGTACCTGATTCGGGGTGATGGGCATAGAGCAGGAGACTACTTCGATGGTGTTGGGGGTAAAAAGTGGAAACATGAAGCTCTACCATTGTAATATATAGAACAATAATAGAGAAACTTTATAGGTATTCAATGATTTAACTCCATTTTCATTTTCATCCAGTTAAGCTCGCCTGGAACCCTCATAATATTCGGTCTGGCATCGGGCATTCTAATAAACGTTGGAGCAACGGCCGGCAAGACCCCTAGGTATGCATGATTCCGCAAGTCGTCATCACCAGCACGATGAACCGCTACCAGACACAAGAAACGGAAAATATTTAACCAGCGTTCCTTACACCTTGAAACCGCGAGACCTTCTGCGTCCACGGGCTCTCTCAAACTTACGTCCCTTGCTGCGGACGTAGGGTTTCTGATCAAGGTTAGTTATGCAAACCATATTTCTGCGTAGGGTATATAACATGCCTTGTGGCTGTGGGGGCCGAAACCGAAGTGCTTCACTGCCTCCCGAGCATTCTTGGGTCCGCGGAGGAGGAGAGTGTTCGCTCCAGTAGGGGCACGCAGAGCAAGCTGGTCCAGAGTCAAGGTCTCACCACCGGCCTTCTCAATCCTGGCCCTAGCAGTAGCAGTAAAGCGAAGGGCTGCAATGGACAGCTTCGGGACAGTAAGAAGACGGTTGTCGTCAGTGATGGTGCCGATCACAACGATAGTCTTGCCCTTGTGGGAGTCGGTCACATTGGAAACAATGCGCGAGAGCGAAACGGGGGGGCGGTTGATCCTGGACATGAAAAGGCGGCGCAAGACGACCTTGTTGAAGTTGGATTCCGTACGACCTGCAAAATTTCCACCACCCATCAGTTTCCCATGGCTGAAAATCGGTTGCACATAGAAGGCGGAGACATACGGGCGAGGAAGCGGTAAAGCTTCACCAAGACTTGCAGGTAAACGTTCTCGCTCTTGGGCGCCTTGCGATGGGTGCCGCGCACATGGTGGCGGTCCAAGTCGATACCTGTATCCCAAAATCAGTATTCGCCAAGTGAGAATAGGAACTGTCCATGGTGTTGAGCCAAAAAGAGAAGTCGCAACCCGCGAAATTCTTCGGCGAATGAATATATCACCACGTCAATTGAACGTACCCATGGCTGCTGTTATTGATGGGACACCTGAAAGTTGGCTGGCTATCGCACCCGTAGTCAAGGTGAAGCTGGTGAGGTTTTCAATCTACGATTTTCAGATGCACGGTGTGTGCGGGTTGAGCCCTACACTAGTCCCAATACGGTAGCCAAGATCATTTGATGCCCAATATTCAAGGCATGCATCATTCATTGTACTAGTTACTCCAGTTTAAATCCTGACTATCCTAGCACTGTGTGCTAAATAAATTATAGTTTTAGTGGGGAGCTCCATTTATCCTGCTATCATTTATCATTGGACGTTGACCTCACATACTGTTGATTCATTAATGAGCGATCCCTCCGGTTCCCCTCTTGACCACACATCTTTCTTATCTGTAGGCGTGTGCCCTTCCTCTAACAAATTCTATAGTGTACTCCGTAGTCCGTAGGCTTATGATCCATAAATATGTTGCATCTTTCCCACTTTTACCCCGCACAGTCTAGCATAACCCACTCCAGCTCACTTGACCTGCCGTGTCAACTATTATATTCTATACATATCCAAGTCCTTACATCAAACAAGTGCTCTACAAGGTTTTTATATCTATGTAACATATTTTAATTATTTCGCATGCGTAATTATCGAGAACACTCTGCCGAACATAGCCATCGCCCGACATTGGGAAAATTGCACAATCCATAGCGGCAATATGATACGTACCATCACCTAACAAAGAAATCCATTTTTGGTAAAAAAGAAAAGTTGGAACATATTCTATCTACCAGGTGTGATTTGTATTCATCGGGGTGCCGTGGCCATATTTACTGATGTTATATCTATCATTTCTCCAAACCCACTAAGAAGTCCCGGGTTAACTCGAAGCTGAGCCAACTACTAGCCATACTGGGAGCCACTTTGAGAAGATTTGGCACGATTCCTTTGAACAGGCCACGCAAGCCCTCTTGCGCCACAATGGCCCTTACGGCGTCCGTAATTGATGCATATTGATATCCCATCCCAGACATTGTATTAATCTGGAAGCGCCGTCGGAGAACATCACTGAAGCCGTGACCTCCATATTAGCTAATCATAACGAGGAGCAATCGATGTTTCCTGGTGGGGCTTACAATGGGTATGTGCATGTTTGTGCTACTGCACCAGAAACTGCACCGGCAAGTAGTTTACGCAGGGGTCCTGGTGTCGCATCACCTTCAGGGGTCAAATACTTGCGGACCGATTCATACGTCATGAAGTTGAGGCCAACCTAAAATGCACTTAGTCACAGGTGGTATAGTATGAGCGTTCCGGGCTTACTGACATAGGGGGCGACACCAGCAACGGTAGGCACAATGCCACGGTAAAGACCTACAATACCGCCTTCGTTTCTATATATCAAGACCATTGTGGTAAACATGCCCGGTAACTGCTCGCCAACCCCTCGGTGACTGAGAGCTTCAAATGACGCTGACTGGATAGAGAGTCGAGTTCTGACAATATCAAGAGGGTAAGTAATTGTCACGGATGTGATGCCGGCAGCGGCACCACAAAGAAGCCTCTGCATGGCTGATAATTCGGCATTTGGCGAAGATTCCGCGAACTAGAGTCTACGTTAATCAAACCTCCAACCCGGTCGCCCTCTATGGCTTATATTCGCACTTCAAACGCATTGTACACTCGAGG